TAAGTAAATAGTTATGTTTAGGCTGTAAACATGTTATAAAGAACAATTGCAACAAACATTCTGTTGTTGTATCCTTCGACAAAAATCTTCACCTACATGCCATATATGACTCTGGTGTGCTCATAATTTTTCTGTGGTGGTTTGTGATTTTCAAACATTTTGGCCAGAATACTTGGTATGACCAAAATAGATTGGTTGATTGTAGGACATAAAATTACACATGCAGGTCTACTATCCGAGATGCACATGCATGATTCTCAATAGGCATGAACAGCACTTCCATGTGTCACTCTGCTCAGAAATTAAGTCTCCAGAAGGAAAACTAAGGTTTAGGACAAGTGTGAGCTCCACCTAAACTCCATGGACTGAAGAAAACAGTATTACTAGTAACCAAGTATTTGTACTCGTAACATCAGGTTTAATATGATACTCTGTCAACTGTGATTGTGGTTTTGGAATGGATGGAGTAGTATATTGGAGATACCTTTCTATTTTCAGACTTTTTCAAACAGTTATCCCTAATATTAGCGATATCAATCTGACCAAATGTGTATTTAAATGTTTACTTTGTGTTTTATGAATGTCTTGTGTCTTCACAGGTTGGTCCTCTACAAACTGTTTGGTTTGTGTGAAATGTTTGAACACTGTGGGTAAATACATAGATCTTTGATGTAATTAACATGGATAACATTTGAAATATAGTAAATCAGAGGTCTACTACGGGAAAATTCAAATCACTGTTACTGGGAGTTGAGTTGAAGTTTTATATTGTAATGTAATGTTGAAATGTGATGGGTTTTTTCTTGTTACCAAAACATATAATAAAAGTTATTAAAATTGAATAATTGTTTTCTGGATCTGTCTCCTGTCAACATACTGGTTAAAGGTGCAGTAAGCAATTTTGTTAGCTTAGCCGTAGTACCAACTCGAAACCACTCCCCCCTCCCCTCGCCTCTCCACCAAACCAAACATCCAGCATTTTATTTTCTTTGTCACAACAGGGAGAGTGGGTGGCAAACCTGAAATTGACATTTTCTGTTCAGCCCTTTTTAGGTTTTAGAAAATCCGATAACTCAGGTGCGCACACTCGCGAGAAACAGCAAGAGGGTGAAAAGGTGTAAACGCAACGCATTGGTTCGTTGGGGATGAACGAATCGCATTTATTTATTTTTATCGGCCCGCTCCAAGACAATACGAATCTGGTCAATTCCATTACTATTTGAAAACACATGATAACTTGACAACTTTTAGGGTTTAGGGACGTTTTCCCAAAATATTTTTAAAAATGCGTCTGGAAAAAATCACTGACTTCATCTTTAAAAGATGGAAAAATAACCTAAAATTGTGTTTTACTATTGCTGCATTGAAGAATTAGGAAACCAACTAGAATACTGCTTAAATGCAGATCTAGATTCTATATTCTTCAAGATCAATGGTTAACAACCTTTTTTGGCCGGTGTACTCCTCACCAACATAAACTGTTGTTGGAGGGGGGAAAGTTCTATGTCTATTTCTAGACAGTTCATCAATTCTCAATAAAGCAATATTGTTGATACAATAGAATTTATGCTTGTATAGCCCTAAATCACAACAGTAGTCCTCTCAGAGGACTTAACAAAACCATTGTAATCCCCAACACAGATCAGAGAATCAACAGTTAATACACAAAAAGAATATAGAACACATGTTGATAATGTCTATACATGTTGTAGAATGTTAAAGTGTCCTGGATCATCACCGCAGTCCTTCTAGTTGGACACTTAAGCCTAGCGTACATCGACAGAGTAACTGGAGACAACTAGTTGCAAGGCGGCTTTTGGCAACTGAGAGTAGATGATGGAGATGATCAGTTGCCGAAATCGGTCGATGTTACAACTGGAGATAAACAGTCGATCTCCGGATTCAGTCAGTTGCCCATGTTCTACTTTTCGGCAGCTAGTTGTCCTCAGATCCGGAGATATGACCCGATGTGCGCGCTCCAACATGTGTTGAGAGTGTTATCATGTGACGTATTGCACGCCCTCCACACCGTAGGTGATGCCAGTTGCTGTCGATGTACGCGCTATAACAGCACCTGCTGTGAGCTGCTGAAACATGGACAATACCATCATCCTCTTTTGCATGGACATCATTTGGAACAATTGGATTACATAATTTGGACATAATTTGGAAAAATCTGAGTTCTGAATTTGGACATAATTTGGACTGAATTGGGTTGCTGAATCTGGACACTAAAGCTGAAACGTGTGATTGAAAGACACATGGAAGTCACCGTGGAAGTTGCTGATTGGAGGACTGCATTCCTCCATGTTGTATAATACACTTGCATTCTGTAGTGCTCGTGTTCGTGCTGTCTCTACCATCGACAATAAAACATGTCTTCTGTCTGAATTAAAGACACGATCCCAGACTTTGTCATCTCCTTCAAGGGTTAATAAAAATGCTACTACATACAAGTTGTATTATAATCTGTAATTTAATTGAAAACTTGAGCTCATTGATTCAGCTGTGTATGAATTCAGGCCGTAAAAAGTGCTGAGTAGAGACTTAGCGTGACGCTCATTCTCCTCCAATCACAGAACAAGGCTGCGTCCTCTAGCCTCTACAGCGCTGCTAAACACAGTAGCATGTTAGCAGAACTGGCTATAACTCTTCTTACTGAAACTGCATTCACAGCAAAATGGCCCAAACAACAAAACAGTGAGGAAGAGAAGAGGGAACTAAAGCGAAAAAATGATAAAAGAAGAAATCAAGCCCGGGTGAACATAGCTAGCTTACATCGTATCCTCTGGAGAGAACTCGGACTACATTCGGACGCGGAACTAGCGGAAATCTTTCATCAGTGATTGTTGTACAGCTTACAAGAAGTTGCGCTCATGTTAATGTTTACATTAGAAAACATCCTCAGTGTCTGAACCTGGGCCCTGGTCCACCAGTTGGACCCAAACTCTACAGTGTTTATCAACTATGCAAAGTCATTCTCATCAACGTGAAGAATATAGAAAATCAAACAAGCGCAGAAAAAGTATTTCTGATCTTCTGACATTGTTTTCTTTTTCAACATATAAAGGCACACCAACGAGCCAGTGCTCACTGACTGAAAACGCTTGTATATTAGTATTTAGAACGTAGGGCCTATTGTTTCCCCAAAAATAATGCCAAGTATTGCCTGTGTAACAAGGTAACTGGGTGACTACAATTGTCATCTCTACTTTCGTCTTCAAAGAGTGATGCCATCATTACTCCTGCTGTAGGCATACAACACACAAATTAATTTCAACTGAAAAAAAACAGGCTCACATGTTTATTCTCATTCATAGTGTGTATTTAAAGTAAGTTGCAGTCCATAAAGCTGTCATATGAAGCACATGTCCTTTATTAGCCTGGGTGTTCGCCGATACCGGCTCAAACCCTTGGGGATATGTTGTGACCTGTCTTTAGGGCGGTTTCACTCCACATTCGTCACATTATTCTCATGATAGTGGCATTAATCATGCAGCTGCAGCTCACATAGGCTGCAGTCTGCTGGTGTCCACTGGGGGGAGCACTGCACAACGAGGACGCGGACACAGCTCATTCACTAATACCAGGAAGAGGCAGAGCACTGTTAAAAAATAATGATAATAACACGGACATTCGAGGGAAAACATCTCACACACATACAGTCTATGATAAGACAGAGCAGAGAACGAGGATGCAAAAGTCAATGGACCTTAGAGCTGGAGTACCTAACTTTCAAACCCCAGAAAGTTCCTCCAGGGGAACCATGCAATGTAATGAAATACATGTCAATGCTTCCTACCTTTGAAACAGTTTTCACATGCATGTGATGGAAAAGTCAACAAATGCAACCAATTTAGGACAGCGGATTTGAATGGTCTGTAATCCGCACACATCTTGAGGTACTGTATCTGGGTGCAGAAAGATTTAAGATAAGCCTTTATTAGTCTCACAGTGGAGACATTTCAGTGTCATCGTTGCGCACATTACAGCAGAGAAAGGAAATGGGAAATAAGAGCACTCAAGACGGGTGCAGTGGATGGACAATCACAGTATAGAATAACACTTACCTTTCTGAGTTGAGGTAGCATGTTTTCCTTGTGTCTGGTTTCCTCCAGGTGCTCCAGTTTCCCCTTATACTGTGGTAGTTCTGACCACTGCTCCTATGGAATTGCTGTTGGGGTCAAATAGCACAATAGAGGGCTATAATGTATCACAATCAGAATCAGAATCATTATTATTGCCACGTAAGTAACAAAAGTCACCACTTGGAAATTGCTTTGGCAGAGCATGCCACGGCGTCATCTTGCGGTATAAACTCTACTCTAACCTTAAATCCCTTTCAGCCAATACCCCTTTTTGGACTCTCTTGGATTGCACTCTTTGCTTCAAAGTGCAATCAGGGTATCATTCTCATAACTTTGCATCTCATACACATGTACAAACTAATGTACTATACTGTACATTAGTTACTGAAATCAATAATATATACAGGGCTTCTTCAGTAAAAAATACGAAGAAGCTCACTAAACTCGTCTGAATCAGCGCAGTGTAAATACTGCTGGAGATTCCCACGGGCCCATTGCGCGCTCCTGTTTTTCTTTTTTTCTTTTTTACAGTGCGCCGCGCGTCCTCTTCCCCATTGTCAGCGCAGAGAGCAAAGGGGCGGTAGTGATCTCTCCCCCAGCCTGGCCCAGTACGCACTGAGCCCGTGTAGTGTTCACAACGTCGCGGAGAGCTCTCGTGTCTTCCAACATTAACCATTCCAGCCTATTTTATTTTAATAGCAAAAAAAATAATAAAGAACTTACCCAACGAGCAGGACATATACTTGGGAAATCCCCAGTGTTGCTTTGGCTTTGGCTGTGATCTTACGCGCACTTTTTCAACTGTTTTGAGGCTTCTGCAAGCGCTGGGAACGGACTGAACCACACGGAGCTGAACAGCGGTCGTTCGTGTGTTAAAAAGCCTTGGGGATCGAAGCCAAGCCAAGCCAAGCCATGCCGCTGCTGGAGTCGCTTCTTGTGGCGCTCGTCTTGGTGGCGGTGCGCGCGTACGGTCAGCTGGACCCGGCTTCTAAACTAGTGTCAGATCGATATGTGGTCTACTGGAACCGGACCAACCCGAGGTAAAGAGCGGCTTCACTCACTCTTTTCATGTATTGTTAGTTTGTGCGCCTCTTTACCAAGTATCAACACTACATTGATGTTTTATAGAAGATATGTTTGTCTCACAGAAAGAGGCTTGTGAAAGTGACATTTGTGTACAATTCAGATCACAACATGCTGTCTGAGAAAGAGCCCTGTGAGTCACTATTTGAAACTTTGGGCTGAGAGCTGATCATCTCCAATTCACTTTTCTGTCTGAAAAACATAATCTAAACATGTAGCAGCAGAGACCAAAATCACCAGCATGTTAAAAAACTGGTGATGAAACCAGACTGTTTAGAGAACGGGGAACCAGTGACATGGATTATATTAGTTGTTGTTTGACAGTTGGGTACCCCAGCTTTAAATGGTTTCAAATCGACTTTTTAAAGTATTGAAACAATAAGAAACGTTAATTTACACAAAGCTACAAGGCTGTTGAAATGAATGATATTGAAACTATTTACCACCAATACAAAAACACTAGCAGGAGAATAAACTATTGTAAACTATTTTAAATTACTGACTATTGATAAACCAGCTGCAGAAAAGGACAACATGTAACCATAAAATGTTTCCATATTATAAAAGAATTGTCTGCTGTTGCAAAGAAATGAACAGATAATAAGTAATGTAACTATTGTGACAGGTCTGAAGAGCCTAAACACAGTATTATATATTTTTAATGGAAGTCCAATCAAAGATCAACGTCCTGTTAATTCAAGTATTTACAATATATTCATATATGGTTTTCTTATTCATTTGTTTCTTAACCTGTGTTTAGAAAACTACAAAAAAATTATTCAAACCATATTTCATTCTTGAGGTCTTAAAGATTAGAAGAAGCATAAATGTCTAGTTTACTTGAAAAACAATTGCAAAACAACTTTTATAGTGTAGTTTATTCTTACAAGATGGTTGATTGATTCAGGTAAATGTGGCAGTCTTTCTTATAAAGTAAAAATATCCTCTCCAGCTTAGAAATGTACTTAATAACTAATATGTGCGATCTATGATGCAATATTCACCAAATGCTTTCTGCTCTTTGAAGATTGTTTTTTATTTTATTTTATTTTTTTAACAGTAGAAATAGAAAGGTGTTGTACTTATGGTGTGTTGTATTTAGCTCGTGTTATGTGGATGTATATTTAACATTTGCTCAGGCTATATTTTGGATTACTGACTTTTCACTGTTACTCCTATTTGTCCATCTTATTCATTTTAGTCATTTTACACACACATTGGGTTGAAATTATGATTATTTTCTTGACAAACTTTACGGTCATGATTCGATTTGGGATTTCTGTTGGAACAGTTGGATTCTCTTCAAAGTGCACATTTGAACTCAAATGACAAAGTATGAAAACAGAAAGCATATGTTCAATTAGAAATGAAACACAAAACGCCAGATTCCCAGAAATATGTTTCTTGAATTAGATTTTTAGAGTATTTAGTTGCATTATAGTTGTCCTTCCGTGTGCTTCTAAAAATGAATGAAAAAATAAAGATTTTCAGTCAGTTTTGACTATAAACACACTCTGTTTTCAAAGTTGCTGTATCTTCAAAACTTCCAAGAATACTGGTCTTAAGTGGATGTTGTCATATCCACAGCAGTTGTCCGAGTGTAAATCTGGAATCTGTCCAGTATCAAACCAAATGTCTGAACACAAAACAGAAACAATTCTTTTTGAATTCTATGATGCGATTTTGTGCTTCCAAAACAGTGCTGTGTGAGTCAATGACCCAAGGCATGGGATTTTATGCAAGCAAAAGTTGAAAGTCAATTGTGCACTGTCACAACCTTCTCCACCTCCTTTCTGTGTATCAGCTGTGGAGTCATATCTGCAGGCCTTTCTACACTGGAAACCCATGTTTTTCACATGTCTTGAAATGCCTTGTTGACTCAGGACAACAGTTTTGTTTGGACCTGTGTCTGCTTTTCGCCACGGGTAAGACAGAGCCTTGTCAAAATAAACTTCTAAAGTCACAGCGCAGTGCACCCAGGGACCAGAGGGAATCACATTGTAATGGACTAGTTGGCAAATGGCAAGTGTCTCATCCACATTGAGCTATATAAACAAATCCAAACAATCTTTACCAGAATCAGAATCAAAATCATTTTTATTGCCTCGTAAGTAACAGGAGGTCAGAGACTTGGAAATTGCTTTGGCTCGGTGCAACAGTCAGAGAGAGAGAATAAAAAATAAAGAATAGAAAACACTAACACTAAGGAATAAAATAAAATAAAAATAGAGTTACAATTACTATATACAATATACAGTGCATATACATGGTGCACACAATGTAAGGTGACAGCAGTACAGTGAAGTAAAGTGGCAATGGCAAATGTATAACTGAAAGGGCAGAGTGTGTAAAATCCTTGATGATTTGAGCTTCACTCTAGTTACATGGCTTGTTTCACTGTGTGAATTCATTTAAAGGGACAAAACTGGTCATATACTGAATAAAACCTTTAAGCACTGTCAACGTTAAAAAGTATAACATATCTGATCTACATAATGTTTAATGCACACTGTATCTGTCATATCAAGATCCATTTTGTCATTATTATCGGGTGTTCACACTTGTCGCTCCGTGTGTAAGGAAGAGGAAAGCCAGCCTTTGCTCAGTCTGAATGACCCTAAGGCCCTGTCCACACGAAGTCAAGCTCAGGCCTAAACGCAAAAATACTTTATCAATCCAGTGTATCGTCCATACGAGGCCGGCGTTTTGGGGGGGTGTAAACGAACATTTTTGAAACTAGGTCCCAGAGTGGAAAGATTTCAAAACTCCGTATATGCCGCTCCGTGGTTACTGCCTCTCCGCAATGTATCTGAGACGCTTGCGTCATCGCCCCACCTCTTGTTAAAGCACGCATGCGCCGCACTCAGAAAATAATGACAACAACAATGTAGTTTGTTGGTTTTGTAATCCAGTGTGACCCGAAGCAACAGTTCAACCTCATCGTCCGTCCATACTAATGTAGTACCAGCTCGCCCACTCGCCATGTTGTCTGTTTACAAAATTCCGCGCATGCCCAATTCCCGTCACGGAAGTTTGGGCTTGATCCCGTCATTGCGTCACAGCGCCACCAACAGGTCTGGCATAGTTTCACAGCGTTTTCAGGCGTATTGACTACATTCATATGGACGCACACATTTACTGAGCTAACTCCGTGTTTACAGAAAAAGTTTCTGAAATTATAAGCGTTTTGTCTTCGTGTGGATATAGCCTAATACTCCTTATGTAATTAAGGAAGCGTTAAACAACAGCATGTGGGAGATCGTCAGGGCCGAAAGATATACCATCATCGGATCTATATGTGATTGAAGACAAAGCAACAACAGATTAAAAGGTTAAAAAACTGACTGAAAATTTCTGGCGCTTGTTCACGGCACTGCGAAATACAGTTAGAATTAATGCCATTACGGAAGCCAGAGATAATTCCAAACTAATTTGGCAAAACCTAAAAAGTGAAGTGGTAAAACTAACATGATAAAAACTATCTCACTGAAGATACAAGGAAATATGACCCTTGTGTTGTAGCCAATGAATATAATATGTACAGTACTTTCTAGACTATTTGACTTAAAAACAAAGTGTGGGATCAGATCTCACTGTCTTACCACCTATTACTGAAGATCAGATGTTTTGGTGACAGGGAGGTGTAGGAGAAGACAATCTTAATTGTGACCAACCATTTCTTCTCTCTGAAACCCTCACCTGATAAAGTAAGCAACTGCCTACCACCTAACCCTAACCCACAAGGATCAACCTACGGCCCTCTCCTCTTCACATTATAATATCAACGATCAGCCCGATGCCCGTCATTCCACCACATTTCAAGCCAAGACCAAGAGCTGGGACAGGGTTCCAACACTAAGAACCTTCACAACGTTTATCAAACTGTGGCTCGTGACTAATCATGCATGTTTGTTAATGTCCGTGCTATTGTTTGTTTCTCATGTTTGTCCTGTGCTGTGCAATGCTCTTATGTTTTTACATTTTGCTGCTGCTAACCTACTTTTTATGTTTTTATGTGACTTTTGATATCTGTTGCTGTTTTATTGTTGATGGCTGTCATATCAACCTGCCCTGGGACGATGGATGGAGACTAGCCTTCATGGCTAAATCTGGCATATTTACATGGACGGTGATTTATGTGCACCGTCCCATTCAAATAAACCAATAAAATAACCGAGAAGATGTTGAGTTGTGCGTATTTCCAAAGAGCTTACACCTGTTCTTAATGATGGTTATTTTAACATGGTTAAAAAAGACAATTTAGCATTATATGTCTCCTTTAAAAATCTACTTTGAACGGTAAGAGTGCGGTAGCTCTTGAATTGGGAGTATAACTGTCCTAGTTGCTCATTTCAAGCAAAGTTCAGATTGCAGCATTTGTCTTTACTCTCTAGATTCTGGCGTGGATCTGCTTCTCTCACGTTGTCATATTGTTTTGGCTGATGGAGCCGTGGCCTTTCTCATGCTAACGGCTGGAGCGGCTGCAGCGTTAGCCCCGCAGCCCATAATAAGTGTTGGAAGCCTTTGTCCCTTCTCAAAGCAGGCCTTTTCACACAGAGACATCAATGGCTTTCAAACGGCCTTCTTTACGACCCTGTTTTGTCCTCTCCAAATACAGGAAGCGTTTTCAGCAGCCTAGAAAACCTGAAGGACTGGGAGTGTCACTTTGTAGGTCAAGAAATGGAAGATAATGAACTCTAATCCACATAAGAGTCACTCCTGTTTCTTGTTGCAGTTTCGATTAACTTTCAGCCTCTGCTTTTTTCATGCCACAATAATTTTACAGGACAACAGGGCGGAATGTGAATGTTTTTTTTAATTTCTTGATTATTTTCAAACTGTATCAGAAGAACGTGTTAGCAATCACATGGTCCCATCAAAATATTGTTTTTTAGTTTACTGTACAAAAAGAGTACTTGAAAAAACTGCTCCGGCATCAAAACTGGTTTTGTCTATC